TGCTGATGATCTTGGCTGCTCAACACTTGGCTCGAGGGCTTCTTGTGACAAGGAGTGAGCTGCGAGTCTAGTCGCGGGGAGCATGGCGATGATACCGGAACGCATTGCCTTTTCAAAGAGTCAGGTGCTTCGGGACTAAGCTTCCTTTTCCGCCCTTCGCTCTGAATGAGGTCATCGATAGCTCTTTCTGAAGCACCCGGGGTAGACGGCCTGATGGAATCGTGGCCGTAAGAAGCTCTACGTTGCCTGTCAGATGATGGCATCGAGACACGTGAGAAGACCTTGCCGGGAGGCACCTTCTCCCCGTGGAGGCTAGCGGAAGACTCTCTACGTTGACGCTGGGGTGATGGTGCCGAGATGTGCGAGGCGAGATCCTTGCCGGTGTTGCGTATGCTTCCACCTCTTATTTGAAAGCTTGAAGATGTACCCTTCTTCATGGGGAAAGTCCCATGCGCGGGCGGGATTTTCGGGTCAATGATTGACATCCGGTCGTGCTCCATTAGCCATAGCCATGACTTCTCAACGTAGTTCCATTCTACTTCAAGTTCCTGGTCTGTCGGCCGGGCGTGGGCTGGCGGGTCAGGATCTCGGGAGTTCCATGCGTCGATGAGACTACTTAAGAAGTTATGTCGCTTAGGGAAAATCTTTTTGGTTTCCATGTATACGCGGCGACGATCCGAGTAGATTTCTGCAAGTTCCTCGGCCATTCGAGAGTTGAGAGTTTCCATACCGCAGTGGTCGCGAATGAAGGCCCAGAAGTGGGTGTGATCAAAGGCAAGATGTTGACATCGTAAGAGAAGCCGGAAAAGAACAACGAGGTTAAGATGTATGCGCCCCTGGCGGTCGATCAAATTCCTCAACACGACAAATTTGTCAAACTTTCTTGCATTGGCAGGGTGAAGAAGAACCGCCTTGGACTGGACCACATTTTTCGGCCAAGGGGGAATCGACAGTGATACGGCTGTGATCCAGAATATGTCGGTATCCCCTTTCCCCATAGTGTGAGTTGAGTATTTCAAAGTCGACAGAGGTACCGCCCGACCAGACTCCGATTTGGGATGAGGATATCGAGGAAGAACATAGGCATGAGAGAGGTGTTCTGATGTCGGACGTCGAGAAATCCGCGTTCGTAGGTACGTAACGCGAAAGGGACGGGAGGCAAGGATGGGAGGGGCCCCGCGCAGAATTGAAACCGAGAACGCGGAACCTGGGAGATGCCGGCGCCGCCTCGCATGACGGTCCCAGGGGTACAAAGTTACGAACCTAAGGGTGCTGCCCAGGGGTTTCGGTCTTACTCTCAGTCTCACTCTCAGTCACACTCTCACTGTTCTGGAACTTGATCATTTCATCAAGTCGGTGAGTGATATAATTCAACAGTACCTCCTACTTCAGTCTCACTTTCTACATCATCAACCCCCCTCCCCCCATCATCAACATCATCGGCATCTGCCACTCATCAACGCCAACCGGCCCATTCCAAGTCTGCAATCCCATTGTCCACCAGCACGTCCCCCAATTCAAAATGCTTAACCCATAACCAGCACACTCCGAAAGCGCACCTTGTTAGAAATCATGTGTTCCGATGCCTTCTTCGCGTCATCCAGTGAGAATCGCTCAACCATGCACTTGATGCCGTGTGTTGCTGCAAAGTCAATGGCCTCCTCCGAGTCCATCTGATGTCCGCTGGGCCACCCACAAACCGACTTGCCTCCGACGATGAGGTCGATTGTATCAACTTCCAATCCTCCGACTGGTGCCAAAACGCACAGTTTTCCGCCAGGCTGTAAACCACCAGTAAGCGGCGAGATGATCTTGGGGTTGGGCGCCGTCGCAAGGATCAAGGCCGCACCCCCAAGCTTCTTGAGCTCCTTCACAGGGTCTGTTGCACTAGAGTCGATGTACTCATGCGCGCCCAGCTTCATCGCAAAGTCCTTCTTCGTAGACCCTGAACTCAGGACCACGACCTTGTAGCCCATGCGACTAGCGTACTGCACGCCAAGATGGCCCAGACCGCCGAGACCCTGGATAGCAACAAGATTGCCTTGCTCAATTTGCATCTTGCGAATACTGTTGAAGACGGTGACACCGGCACAAAGAAGTGGTGCTGCTTCAGCGGGGTCAACGTCCTTCGGCACCCGGACCGCCGACTCGGCACGGAGCAGCACGTATTCGGCGTACCCACCGTCCCGGAATACGCCGTTGATCGTCTCGTTGTCACAGGCTTGGAAGAACCCCTTTTGGCACTGTCGACACGTTCCGTCATGCCCTGCATTTCACCATTAGGGCTCACTTCAAACACATGAGGACCAAGCAACAGACATACCTCCATGCCAGGCACCTCCAACACGTTCTCCGCCTGAGAACCGGCTCACGCCTTCGCCGACTGCCACCACATCACCAATGATCTCGTGGCCTGGAATCCTCGGAAAGACGTCTCCGAACCCACCCTCTGCCATACCCACGTCAGAGTGGCATACACCGCATGCTAGAACCTTGACAAGAATATGGCCGGCACCTGGTTGCTTCAGTTCCTGGTCGACAATCTTGAGGGGCGCGCTCTTGGACTCGATCACGGCCGCCTTGAAGGTTTTCGGAAGTCCCGACATTGTGAATGCTGATCTTGCGAACTTGGAAGTTGGGATTGAGGAAGAGAGAAGAGGTGTGCTTTGAGAGGGGTTGTTTTTGCACAAGTCTCAATTTGGGGCAGCGCGATGGCCGACTACTTATACGCATGCAGGACTGAAAGAATGGTTCGATCTGTAGTTCACATACATAAATTTGACTGGAACCCACGCTTTCCGAACGGGTCGGACAAAGTGAAGTCTGGACTTTTAGGCCCCTCACTTGTTTACGGTACCAGCGAACAGGAGAGCTCAAGAGGCCCAGTAGACGTCTGCACCGCCGATAAGCACTGCTGGCTGCAGTCATCTCCTGTAGGCTTCGCATGTCTCATAGGACGCCTGCAGAGCAGCTTGGGCTTTCTGTAGGACTAGGACGGATGTGGAAGAGGGGTTGATGTGTGGTGGCGCTGGTACCATGGCTACGATGACATCAACAAGACTCAATTCGACCCTCATGGATGTGAACCCCTCCCACAGCTCCAGGATAGAGCTGGTTGTGAGAAGAACTTAGGTGGCAAAGCCATTCTACCTAGGCTTAGAGGGTTAATCGGCCGCCCGTTGCTGCCAAGATATGTACGGCCATGACACCGTCCCAAACTCCGCGGAGGCCATGGAATCCATGCAGGCTTTGCTTGTCGGAAATATCTCTACAAAGTACATCTGAAATACCTACAAATGGCCCTGATGACAGGAACAACCCCGCCAAGTTGTGGCTTGTTGATAAACTGCGGCTCGGGAGAGATCTGATGGGAGACTTCGGCAATCGGCGTGCCGGACGCAGGCTTATGTCCTGCGCTGTTCCGTCAGCCAATAAGAGATTCTTCCTCGTCGGTTTTGCAGGGGCCATTTTCTCCAAAGCCGACAGATACGGACGGCCACATCCTCCAATCCGTTCACAACTACGGATACGGCAGCATAATGGAGCCCTGGTACCTGGAGCCGGATCCTCGACATGCGTCACTGAGTTCGGTCAAGTCAGCCCTACCGGAGTCAGCAATGATTCGGAACCATGCGAGGGACCAAGAGCTAAGTCGTCGAGCTTCCACAGCACAAGTTTCAATGAGATGGCAGGCGCATCTATCCTTGACAGCTCCGATATAGCCGGTAAGCTAAGCTGAACACTGAAGTGCTCGCGCTTCGCGCCAAACACGTACAAATGATGGAGGATACTGCACAATTGCGGAGATATCAGAGCTCTATCTGATCTTCCCCTCCGATGTCTCCCCACAGCCTCGGCCTTCGCGCGTAAACTATGCTCTTGAGTAGCGAAGCGTTGAAGGCTTAGCCTTGGAGCCACGCCTTTTGGGCTGCACATCAGGGTTCGCGAGGCTCCATAGGTGTGCTAATTGATGGAGTTGGATCTTTTGTCGCAGCAGCTGAGAGCTCCCACCGATATATAAATGTCAAAGCTGCCCACATCCTGTATTTGGCCTTGTGAACTGAAGAAAGGTAAGGTACATTACTGGAAGCTCCAAAAGGCTCAACCAAGCAATCCCCAATCGCACAACGTATCACCAAAGCTTCACATACAAGCAGTCACAGAAGACACTACCCTCGAAATGTCTCTCCAAGACAAGGTCATTCTCATCACCGGAGGTTCCAAGGGCATCGGCAAGGCCATTGCACTTGATGCTGCCGCGCAAGGTGCCAAGATCGTCGTCAACTACAGCAACGACTCATCCGCCGCCGATGAAGTGGTCAAGGCCACTGGCAGTGACCGGGCTATTGCCGTGCGCGCCGATGTTTCGAAGACGGCCGAGTTGCAGAAGCTCGTAGACCTCACCATCGACAAGTTTGGCAAAATCGACGTGCTGATCCCCAACGCCGCCATCATGCACATGCGCACTGTCGAGAATACGACAGAGGAGGACTTTGACCAAATGTTCAACACCAACGTCAAGGGGCCCTACTTCTTGGTGCAGGTATGCAATCCACCCCACTTACACTTCCCTCGGTCAATGTAACTCACATTTAGAATAGAAAGCTCTCCCTCACATGTCTGAAGGCGGCCGCATCATCTTTCTCTCAACGACAGTCCTCGCTTCAAGTAGCCTTCCCCCGCCATACCTGCTGTATGCATCGACAAAGGGCAGCATTGAGCAGATGACCAAATACATGGCCAAAGACCTTGCTAAAAAGGGCATCAACGTCAATGCTATTGCGCCTGGCCCAACCGGGACGGATCTGTTCTACAAGGGCAAGACGGAAGAGATGCTCAAGAACATAACTGCCAGCAGCCCCTACAACAGAATTGGCACGCCAGAGGAGATCGCCTCTGTGGCGGTTTTCTTGTCCGGACAGGAGTCATCTTGGGTGACGGGGCAGGTGGTCCGGGTAAATGGAGGAGCCGCATAAGAAACGCATAAATAGACAAAGACTTGCGCATTGAGTGCTAGTCGTTAATATAAAATATCCATGTCCAACGCCTGAGCCTCGCCTCCTCGAGGCAACCACTTGATACGCGATCTACAATGCTCTTCAATGTCCTAAAAATCTAGATTCCGACTCATGGTGCCACGGGAGATTCTACTGGGCCCCCAGGGCAGCTAGTGCATTACGTAGCTCCTTTACTGCCGTCGGCACGTCTTCAAAATTGAGCGCAGAAATAGCCCACTTGGCGTGCTTCTGCGCCTTTGGCAAGTCCATGTCATCTGACGGTGCACTGCTTGGCGTCCACGAGTTGTGCGAGCCGGGAACCATCGGAGCTTTGGGCTGAGGTACAGCCGGTGGCGGCTTGAATTGCTGAGGCGCCGGAGGTGGAGGTGATTTGGCAACATTGGAAGGGGGTATCTGAGGCGGCTGCCACGGCGACGCAGCGTTGGCCTGACTGAATGATGGGCCGGTCGAGGATGCAGCATAAGGAGAAGAGGCCGACAGAGCATTGACTGCCGCGGATGTGTCATTTACGCCGGGTTGGCTCAAGGGAGACGGCGGGAATTGCTCGGGAGGGTCAAAGTAGCCCTGGGTCTGTGGTACCGGCGCGTTGAGGTCGTTTGCTGACGGCACTGACGGGAGATCGAGCACACTGGACTGGGCAGGCTCAGGTGTGCTGGGCTCGGCTGTCGGGGCGGTCTCTGTCGGCGCTGAAACCTTTTTGTAGAACTCGGTCTCCGGGTCGTCCTCTACGGAAGCGGGCTTGGGAGACGTTAAGCCTTGAACGTCTGGGTCGTTGGGATCCAGCGCAGGAAGAACTTCCTCGGCTGGCTCTTCCTGTTTAGGGTTCGACTCGTTGGGGTCCTTGCCCTCCTTCAAAGCCTTAAGTATCCGAGCAGCGTTCCACTTTGCATATTTGACCTTCTTGAGTGTCTCCTCGTCTACAGCGCCCCAGATGTTGCCCAGAAGGAGAAAGGTTGCAGCGGCATCGAAGGTGTCGGCGGTTTGCCTAGGTTCGAAGCACATTAGCAGGCGAAGAAGGCGGTGCCGTCGTCAGGAAAAGACGCACCTGGTAACGCGATTCGCGCGCATAACCTTCTCTGCTCTGTCGAGAGTATCTTGGGCAAACTGCTCAACATATGCTTGGCCAACTGTGTCGTCGGTGATGGCTTCCTCCTGGGCGTTTTCGGTTTTGGTCTGGCACGGCAAGTATTAGTCTCTGATGCACAGCACCACCAATGACAGTATCGTTGCCATTCTGACCTGTTCGAGCCTATCCATAAGATTTGTCGTGTACGAAAGACTTTCATCGTCGACATTGTGCAGACCCTTGGCTAGGATTTGGTTGACCACCCAGTATTCGCCTGTGTGTGTTCGGTCAGCATCTAGGGCGTCCTCCGGCCATGCAGAACTGGTGAAAATGCCCGGACATACACCAGTAGGTAACCACAGGTTTGTGCTGCCGCAGCTGATTTGCGCGATTGATGAATCTGGTGATATCTGCCTGTCGCAGGCTGTCGGGGATCGGTTCGGCCATGGCTGCGACAACGGAAACGAAGACAATTCGAAGGGCGTCGTGGATAAGATCGGGTAAGGACTCTTGTGGTCAGTGTCGGGGCCTGGACGAGAGAAGAAAAAAGTCTTTGCTCGGTGACAGGTCACGGTCGCAAAGGGGTAACAAACTTGCGACGAGCGGTGCTACACCAAGAGGTTGGAGACATGTATTCCGTATCTTGGAAGCCTTACCGCAGGCCACAGCAGCAGCACCGCACCGAGAAGTTCCCCACACGGCGCACATCACAGCGGGGTGAGAAGGTCACCAGGTACGTACCTGCACCTACCTTCAGATATGTACCTATCAAGGTGCCCTGGGCTGGTACCTGTGTACTGTGGCTGATGCTGTCCAACAGGTGTGGCTCAAGCTCTACAAAGCTGGTGTGGAGAAGGTGGCTGGTGCCCAGACCAAATGCTTCGATTCAATTGACTGGAAATTTCCATGGTTCCATTCCCAGACCGAATTAAGCACAACGGTGAGGGGTTCGCGTCTCACAGTTCCACGCTGGCCTCTTTGCGCCGGGAAGAAGCCAACGAGACTTTTATGCTTCCCATTTGCTTGTTTTCCCAATTCCATAAATGCAGACGAGGACAGAGCTCCCTCGCCTGCTCGAACTTAGTTCCTAGTTCCATGCTCTGACTTCTTATTCACACATCTTTTCTCTTATCTCCCATCTTCCACCTCCCTTCCTCTTTTCCTCCTCTCTACCCGACCACATCTTGTTGTCTCTGGCGTCACATCACTTGCTGCCGTCCAGCATACTTCTATACTGACCTTGCCCACCCACACTCACACACAAAAGATAAGGTGTGCTGCTGCTAAACTCTATCCACCACGATGCATCACCCCACTCTCCTTGCGGCTGGCGCTGCCGTTCTGTCGGCTTTGCCCGGCGCCCACGCTGGCATGTACCCAAAGAGCTCTGCTGTGCTCCAGGTTGATGCCAAAAACTACGACAGCTTGATTGCCAAGTCGAACTACACCTCGGTATTATGGACTTTTTTTTTCTTTTCTTTTTTTTCTTTCTTGTCGTTTACATTTGCTTCTTCATGCCAACATAAGATTGCTAGATTGTTGAGTTTTATGCTCCCTGGTGTGGTCACTGCCAGAACCTCAAGCCCGCTTACGAAAAGGCTGCCAAGAACCTCAATGGATTGGCCAAGGTTGCCGCCATTGATTGCGACGAGGATGCCAACAAGCCCCTCTGCGGTCAAATGGGTGTGCAAGGCTTCCCTACGCTGAAGATTGTGAGGCCCGGCAAGAAGCCTGGAAAGCCTGTTGTCGAGGATTACCAGGGGCCCCGCACCGCCACCGGCATCGTCGAGGCCGTAGTCGACAAGATCACCAACCATGTCAAGCGCGTCACCGACAAGGATCTCGAATCCTTCCTCGAGGGTGACAAGCCCAAGGCAATCCTCTTCACCGAGAAGGGCACCACGAGCGCCCTGCTCCGCAGTGTCGCCATCGACTTCCTCGACGCTGTCACGATTGGTCAGGTTCGCAGTAAGGAGGCAAAGGCCGTCGAGAAATTCGGAGTCAAGTCCTTTCCCGCCCTGGTGCTACTGCCCGGCGGAGACAAGGAACCTATTGTCTACGATGGAGAACTAAAGAAGGATGGCTTGTTGAAGTTCATTTCTCAGGTCGCTTCGCCCAACCCCGACCCTGCGCCCAAGGCCGCAGACAAGAAGAAGGCCGACAAGAAGGCCGAGAAGAAGCCTGAGAAGAAGAGCAAGTCCGCGTCCGAAAAGTCGAGCACCAGCACCGCTACCGAGCAGGAGGCCACCCCCGAGCCAGAAGCCGCCGCCGAGACCCCGCCTGCCGAGCAGGCCGCCCCTGTCCTCAACGTAATTCCCCCCTTGCCCGTTCTCGACAACCCCGGCAGACTACTGTCGGAGTGCCTCAACACCAAGTCCCACACCTGCGTCCTGGCTTTCGTGTCTTCCAAGAATAACGAAAAAGCCGAGAAAGCCCTTACCAGCCTGTCAGAGATCGCCCACAAGCACGGCCAGGCCAAGCGCAAGCTCTTTCCTTTCTTCTCTATCCCCGAGGAGAACCCGGCCGCGGCCGCTGTCATCAAGAGCCTTGGCCTTACGAGCGAGGTTGAGATTGTCGCTGTCAACGCGCGCCGGAACTGGTGGAGACACTACGAGGGCGATTTCGATGCGGCGAGCGTCGAGAGCTGGATTGATGCTATCCGTCTTGGTGAGGGTGCGAAGAAGAAGCTGCCTGATGGTTTGGTAGCTCAGGAGATTGAGCCCGAGTCTTCGGAGAGCAGCTCGACCGCCTCTACCGCAGCCACAGATCCTACCGCCGAGCCCGAGACAGAAGCGCCCAAGGAGACACCATCTGAAGCCCCCGCGCCGCATGATGAGTTGTAAACATCCACTTGATTTCTGAGTTCTGCCTGGATGGTTAGCTTGGACCGCGTGTACATTAGTTAGTCAATGTGATGGGAGAAATCTGACCATTGTCAATGCCCGCTGACCCGCTTCTGTGGTCGATGCTGTCCTCCGCGTTTCCACTCATGATTCCATCTCCAGATCCAAGCCGGTACCTTTCTCTACTGTGCCCTCTTGCACCATTTGACGGCCCTTCTCCTTGACAACGCGGTCCATGAACTGTCGCACCTGTTTGCACCCATCTACACCAACAGCAAGCATACCCTCCAGCCGGCTGACCTGAACACGGCTCTCACATACCAATACGGCAACACGGTCTGTGAGACCCAGCGTTCCTACCGTCATGTATGGCAGCTCCTGCTCTTCTTGTGTGTTGAGATCGAGGAGAGGGTCTGCGCCGTCATCGGCGGCAGCGTATGTGGACGTCGAACCCGCGGTGCACGCAGCAATGTAGTCGGTCATGGGAATACCAGCGTCGATTAGTGCTAGCGTCGAAGCGTTCAGAAGAGCTGCCAGAAGGGAACCGTCCTGCGACAAGACGTGCAGAGAGATGGTGATGCTGCTGTGAGGGAAGAGATGTGTGTGAAGGTTCGCCGAGACAGCTTTGGCAATGGTAGCCTCGAGTTCTTGTGACCGCCTGCGAGAATCATTGGGTCAGCTGAGGCAATATGAAAGATCACACGCTTGATGCACTCACTTGTCGTTGCGGCCACGCTTCATGCGGTCGACAGAGCTAAAGCCAGCGACGACGAGGTTAACGGTGACAGCAGCCTCCTTGGACTGACCGCCAGCGCCTCCGCGACGCTGAGGTTCGGCAGGTCCCGTAACGACGCACATGACCTTGGTGTGGCCCATCTCGAGGTAGCTCGAGCCATCGGCGGCTTCTTGGGTGCGGATCTGGGCGTGCAGGCGTCGGAGCTCGTTCCAGCGGCGGCCATCGACGCGCAGGAGCGCCATGGAGTAGGTTGAGGTATCGAGAGGCATGATTGGACCACGGTCGCTCTTGTTTTGTGTTTGTGCTGAACTCGGGGAATGTAAGCAGTGCTACGTATGAAAGGACTGCGACCGCTGATTTCTGTGTGCGAATTATGACAAAAGTTGTGATGGGAGGCTGTTGCGACTGTGACTGCGACTGCGACAAAAGTGACAAAACCGAATTTTTGAGAAGCGTCAATCCACCGCCTTGCCCTTGGCCGCCCTGGGCCTGGGAAAGGTGGGATGGTGGGGCCGGGTGGTCGGTGAGTCGGCGTCCGGGCCCCGGTCTTCCAAAGCTCGGACCTTTCCATGTTGAACCCCTGGAACCCTGGGCCACCACCGCACTGTCCCTCCCGAAATCGCGGGGAAGCTCTCCCATCTTGGTGGTGTGAAGACCAGGTAGAGAGGAGGGAGTATCGAAACTGAGCAAGTCACATCAGACTCAGCATGTATGATGCAAGTTGCCTTGTAAACGGCCAGCTGCCACCATCACACGGCCGAATGTTAGGTACTGGTAGGAATCGAAAACGCGGCGTAGCAACAGTCAATGCCATATTCTCATTCAGTGCTGCAGGTTTGATGCATGAGGTCGAGTGGACCGTTGCAGAGCGATTTGGTGTAGTAAGTGACGAGCAATGGTTGCTCTAATAGTTGCTCTACAAAACGTTTCATTGTTGTTCAAGTTCAACTCCATGAGGGCATTCGAGTCTCAGTCATTACTGTGACGAATCGGTCATATCAAGGTTCACATGCTCAGTGGCAATGGTGGCCAATGTCTTCGTTCTCATTCCTCGTTATGCTAGTATTACAATCTCGTCACAAGAGGGATGGTGTTGTCGGTTACTTGGAGCAGCACAATGCTCAACTGAGAAATCCATGCTGGCCTTCGTGCTCATGCCATCCTCTCCCAAAAGGAAAAAAAAAATAGCTCAGTCCCATTCGCGAGCTTGTCGGAAGTTAAAAGAAAGTTGATAGTCCACGCCGTGTGATTCAAGTAGTTCCCATTCAAGCCATGACCAGTACGCCCATAGTGGACGTGTTGAACTCCGACGCTGGAGGCACCAGAACCAGGGAGTTGGTGGGCTTGACCTCGTCTTTTTCGGGTTCATCAGTCCATCCTCTCTCAGGACCCCACCTGATCTTTCGGTCGTTTGCCGCAGTCACCTCCAAAAGGGCACGCATCATCCCGCCCGACTTCTTGACTCCAGGCCAGGCATCGAAGTACACAGTGTCGATCCAGGGCATCTGGCTGAAAACTTCTGTCAAGAGGGACTGGCTGAAAGCTTCATAGAAGCCATCTGACCGGCGAAACCCGTTGAAGATGCCGTCGCTAGGGTCGCATTCAACTAACACCGTCAAGCGACGAACGTTGACGCATTCGTGGAGGCCCAAGGCTGGTGTGACGACCCATCCTCGCGGCGGCTTGCTCCAGCCGGGGCCGAGGCGGAGCTCCAATGATGTGATGTACGATCTTGAGCTTGGCTTCATACGAGCCAGGAGCGGTTTCTTGCTTTTGAAATATTTGCCTGGGTGTGTTGGGAAGATGCGGAACGAGCGGCTACTGTAGAAGTAATGAGAGACTTCCTGATAGACAGTACGACAAGTTCTTTGAATTCCAAGCTTCTTGTGATAGGTCTTGTAGTTGTCTGGGTCGAGGTCTATAACACCACCGCAGCCTTCAAAGTAGTAGTCGTAAATCTTGAGGCGAAGTTCTGATGGCAAGGCCATGAACGCAAAGGGTTTGGCTTTCCTCCTGGCTGCTCTTCTCTCGCTCAGAGTGAGAGAGCCGATACTGTCTCCGAGTGCATCTATTTCAGCTTCGGAAGCATACGTCGAGGGGT